TATAGTTGAATGAATAATTTCCATGTTTGATTTGAAGTTGTTCAATTAAATTCATTTAAACCACTTATGTGCGTATGTGTCCTGTGCCATAACTGTTTCCCTAATCCATTTCTCTGTATTCAGATAATTTGTGATGGCTACTACTGAGATGGAATCAGGTTCTTCAGAGAGCAGATCAGAGCATAGGACAGATCCTGATTCAAAGTTCCCACTTAAAGTTCTTTATTGTGGAGGTACAGTACTGAGTTTGTCATCTTTGTAAGATTTAAACATTGTGTTTTTTCAAAATGTGATGGGCCTTTTCTCTCTCTCTCTCTTTCTGCAGTGTGCTCTCTGCCTTCAGAGGTAACTTTACCTATTTGGATATTGTGTTTTTTTGTTAAAGTGCTTTCAATTGTGCTGTTGTTTGAGGTCTAACTACACGGTTTTGTCTGCAGTATTGTGAGTACATGCCTGAGCCAGCCAAATGTAGACAGTGGCTTGAGAAGAACTTTCCAGATATATTTGCCAGGATGACTGTTGGTAAGTGATTGATGAGTTTTACCTCAGTTTAGTTAACATTGTTTACTTTAAACCACTGTGAGAATATGCATTTATCAAGTATTTATTCTTAGTTATTGGTGCAGTAACATGAATACGAAAACTTCAATGCCATCATTGTGGTAATTTACTTTTGGCTTTTCCACAATGACACGGCATAAAGACCAGAAATTACAGATCTTGTACATAGAACAATACAATGTCTCAGCATTCCCATTCATAAATATATAAGTGACAATTCAAGCTTACACTATAAACTATAACACAATATACACAATGATATTGTGCTACAGCTTATGTAGCTACATTTATGTGACTTAAATTCCTGGCAGAAATTAAATGTAAATGCTTGTTAACTTATCATATCTCCTGATGTTGTTGGAAGTAGTTTTTGTGGAGATGTGTCCTGAACCCAGCAACATTGATATTGTGACTTTTACTATTGTGCTATTATCCCACAGTTTCTGACTGTATCGTATACTTTTAATGCTATGCCACATTTTCCAGGCTCCAGAATGATGTAGAATCATTTGAAAAATAGATTTATGTCTAAAGGTCTTTAATGATGTCATTTGGGGGGAAGAAAAAGGTAGAAAAAATGGTAACAGATGCACACTGGTCATTATTCAGGCTAGTCTGTCTCTCTAATGATTCTGTTGTATATAGACATAGTAGGATTCATTGAAAAGGTAAGATGTATTGTTATGGGATTGGTTTTAATCTTCCATTTTACTTCTGTCCCACTGGCCCTGCAGCGAACACCCCCAAGCAGGAACCCGGCATTGGAGATGCTCCCCCTGCAGGCGAGGAGGAGGAGAAAAAGAAACAGAAGAGAGGTAACTCAAACTCAAATGTTGGATGGGAGATTAAAAAAAACAAAAAAAAACAATTTTGATGTCAAAGCACAAGAGCCTAATCCTGCCTTGTTTACATCACTGATCACTGCCTCTAACAGCAAGTGCAGTTCAGTATTACAGCAATCTTTCTTTGAGCAGCTACGATGACCATATATATAATCCTAGTGATGTTTTCACTGATGTGTGATCATCTAGATTGTATTAATTGTTGTTTTCTTTACCCTAAAATGGGCCCTTTATGTTTAAATACTTCACATTGGGAGAGGGTCCTCTCTACGGAGGCCGCCATGTTTTTTGCAGTCGTCCAAACTAAACATCTTTTGAGTTTTTTTTATGACGACTGAAGACTACCACATTCTCCTTAATGTTTAGCTCTTGAAACTATACTGCATCGAGAACTTAAGGAGAAACTTCACAGGTATTCTTCTCTGTAATCAACGTTACAAGATTAAAAATAATGGTGCAACACAGACAACAGGATATTAGTAACACTTGCTCCAGAGGCAGTGGCGCACCACCTCACACGCTAGCGGACTTTAGCATTGTGAGTCTTAAATCTGGTTTAATCCTGTTTTACCCTCTTAAGGTGGAAGAGGCCAGATCAAACAGAAAAAGAAGACTTTGCCTCAGAAGGTTACGATAGCAAAAATCCCAAGAGCCAAGAAGAAATATGTCACACGGGTGTGTGGTCTGGCAACATTCGGTGAGACCCTTTTGTTTTCTAAGTTCTGATGTTTCAGTCCCTTTGTGTTGATGCCTTATTCTGAACATGAAACCTGTGTTGTCTCTTGCAGACATTGAACTTAAAGAGGCTCAGCGATTCTTTGCCCAGAAATTCTCTTGTGGTGCCTCAGTTACAGCCGAGGATGAAATTATCATTCAGGGAGATTTTACAGATGACATAATCGACGTTATTCAAGAGAAGTGGCCTGAGGTGAGTTGTCTTACATGTAGAGAACTTTAGGATTAGTATTAGTGTGTAAAGTCATTCTTCTGTGAGTTTGAGCCTCTCTGTACCTGCACTGCTATGTTCAGATATCTTAGATGGTCAGCATGAGGAGAGCAGGGACTTGACTGGATTGCTGAGAAGATTATTGGATCTATCCTCAACTTTTTTCTCTGCTGTTTGAAATTTTTTGATTAATAAAATGATATATATTCTGTCTGGACCCAAGTGGTGGACCGACTGACCCACACTGCTATGCTGAGAGCATGAAGAGTGTTAGTATGTCTACAAAATAAAGTGCAGTGCCTGATAAGAGTACATTTTCTAAATTGTAATACAATCAAAGGCCACAGCAAACTGTTTTTAGCTTCAGTATGAAAGAGATGAGTTGGAGCAGGCTCCAGGTTTTCTTGGACTTTGTTCAAGTTATGTGGTTTATTAATAGGTTGAGGCTCTAACTGTCTGATTTCAGGCATATGCGCTTTTTATTGAGGATCGCATTTTATCCTGTTACCTTTTACAGCATTTAAAGGATCAGTGTGAAGGATTTAGAAAGATTCACTGTCAGAAATGGAATCAAATATTCATACTGATGTTTTCATTAGTGTCTAATCCCCTTACACTAATGATGGTTGTATTTTCCTTACTATTGAATGAGCCCTTATATCTTCATGTGGATCTGGTTTTCTTACATGGTGAGGGGAGAGGTATCCAGTTGGTTGCAATCTGCAACTTCACCACTAGATGTATCTAAATCCTACACACTGGACCATTTAACTTGTTTTTTTTTTTCCTTTAACATTTGAAGATGCCCTTTTGAAATCAAATACTTTTTGTTGTAGGTGGATGATGACAGCATTGATGATCTGGGTGAAGTCAAGAAGTGAAGACCAAATATGCACTTTGAAAAAATGGATGTGACCTGTAACAGCGACAACCTGGCCAAATGTACACATTAAGTCATTTTATACCTCTTTTATTTACTGTACATAAAAAGCTGCGGACTTGGCCACTCACCTGGCATTTTTTTAGTTAATAGCCACTTTCTCTCGTTTGCCAAAGGTGTGGTCTGGCGTGACTTCCTCCCCAAATGTTCTTCACTCAAGCAACTGTAGGCTAATAAATTTCAGTCTCTCTCACATGTACTTCTCTTTTTTCCAAATTTGTTATTTATTTCAAAGTGTCTGATTTTCTAGAGGTTTTCTCCAGAGTTGTGATGTTTATGTAGACTTTGTAGTTATGTTGTTGCAGCCACTTGCTTTTCCTCAGCCACAGGGCACTTGTTTTTCTTTAATCCTACTCGATACCCATGTGTGCACCTATTCTGCTACATAATAGTTTTATAATGAAGGCACAATCCCCAGACAGATAACATTTACAATTGCTGCTGTGCTCCTTTCCGTCAGTACCATTTCCCCAAACATAACATATAAGGCACAGACGTTCCTTACACTCATGAATTGTCTGAGAATCATTTGTGTAAATGCAAACATGATTCCCTACCAAAGAAGTCACCTGGTGCAGCCTATCAGTGTTTACACTATAAAGAGCAGCAGGTTGGTGTAGTGTTTCAGTGGCCGTTTCAGCAATGAATCTTACACAGGATGAGAAGTGCTGCGCCTTCGAGTCTCCCACCCTGGACCAGTTTTTGCCTCCYATTCTGATCCTGGAGTTCATGTTTGGACTCATTGGAAACTTTGTCGCGCTGTGGATGTTCATCTTTCACATGGACACATGGAAGCCCAACTCTGTGTATCTGACTCACCTGGCTGTTGCTGACTCCATTGTGCTGTTCTGCCTGCCCTTCAGAGCAGACTACTACAMMCGTGGAAAYAAKTGGCTGTATGGCGATGTCCCGTGTCGTATCCTACTCTTTCTGCTGGCAGCCAACCGTGCAGCAGGGATCTTCTTCCTCACTGCCGTGGCTGTTGATCGATACTTCAAGATCGTCCACCCAATGAACAAGATCAACCGAATGGGCCTGGGCTATGCTCTCTGGGTTTCTGTCGGCCTCTGGTGTCTGATATTTCTTGCAACTGGT